GTAGTCAACAATGGGCCATATTCCGATCTTCCCATCAAAATGGCCAAAGCGTGTAGTTCGCGGGCGAGCAATGGCACAAATAAACATGACTTTGGCAATATGCTTCTTGCTTCGACAGTGTTGGTAGGGGTCAGGCTCGTCACTCGTGAGATAATACGTGTCCTTCTCGCGGTGCATGAAGAACCATTTTTCATCGATATGCACAAAGTTTAGAAGGTCATGCATCACAAGGGTCTCCATGTTGACAAAGGATAGGCAAAATCGAACTCGTTCAACCTTGTTCTCTTCAGAAAGCAATGGCTTGACATGAGATGAGTGACGGCGCAGGATCCCTTGCTTGAGATACTTGTGCAATGTGGACACGCTGACTTTGATGGCTGATGAGAGCGATCGCAACGATTGGCGCTTGTGTAGAGGAACTTGCTTGATTTTGTTCACCAGGGCGTCGACGTTGATGGGCTTGCGACCACTCTTGGCACGTCGTGTGCTCGTGTTGGCGAAAGTGGAGCCATTCTCCAATGATTCAAGGCCACGGTCCCAGATCCTTGCGACCGTCCATCGCGATATGCCAAACATAGTGGCAGCTTCAGCAAGGGCACCGTGTCGGAGTCTGCCATTATTGCTGAACTGGAGCAAATGCATCATTACCCCAGTTCGGCCTTCATCGCTCAGGTGGTGCACCTCTCTCTCCGCGTTTAGTATAGTTTGAATGAGCATAAATTGGAAAATGAGCGGCCATGATGTCCTTCGGAAGACTTTCGCGCCAATTTTGGTGGTTAACATTTTATATAAATTTGTAGAGGTTATTTTTAGTCTTACTCAAGTATAATGCCTTGATTTATATTTATATTTAGACAGTGCATGTAATCACACAGGTACCCTGCCTAACTCTTGGATTAGGCTTCGATTTCTCTAGAAAGTCCTTTTTCTGGGAAATATAGGACTTTTTTAGTTCACATGGAAATTTCCAGAGCAAAAGACCCAGTGGTCTGCGAGACACACAATCTCAAAGTCAAATGTAGCAATCATTTGCGTACAGAGTAGTACACATTTTCGAAAAAATAACTGTTTTGTGTTGTAAAAGCTCGTTGCGTCAAAAGGAAATGTTGTAGACGTGTTGTTGTCTTTCGTAGAATCATTGACTTCAATGGTGATGTCATTATTTTTGGTGTAATCGATCTGTTCGTGTTAAATTCATGGTGTACCAATCTTGAATGGTCAGCACTGTATTGCCGTCGTTGGTGTTGCGATGAACTACAGCCCGCACG